CCCAGCACTCGGGAGGCAGAGGCAGGCAGATCTCTGTGAGTTCAAGCCCAGCCTGGTCTACATAGTAAGTTCCAGGACAGCTGGGGCCACAGGGAGACCCTGTCTCAAAAAGACCAAAGAGACCAAAAAAAAAAAAAAAAAAAAGGGCACTGGCTGCTTTTGCAGAGGACCCAGGTTCAGTTTCCAGTATCCACATGGCAGCTAACAACTATCTGTAACTCCAGTTCTAGGGGATCTGACGCCCTCTTCTGGCACCTACATGTACGCAGTGAATATAAACTCATATAGGTATGCACATACAAATAAATCAATCTAAAAAAAAATCCCATATGATGCAAACATTTATATATGGAAATCACAGAGCAACTGTAATGACACAGCTGGGTTACAGGGGGAAGGGACAGCCACTCCCAGAGCCTGCTCCTCCACTACAGCAGTAAGAACCTGGCAATGTTATGAAAACTCTGGAAAGACCCCTTGGATCATTTAAGAGCAGCACCGGATTCCTGGAATAAGACAAGGTCTGTGCCACTAGCTGCTCGGCTCCCCTCACTCTCTCCCCATGTGTAAGGCAGTTCCCAAACCAAGGGCCTCAAAACCCATCAGCCACTGGAAGAGGCAGAGCAGGTTGAGAGCCCTGCCACCCACCCCCCAGCATTGTCCCTATGTGACTCATATGACAGTCCCCTAGGAACGTGTCCTCCTGCATGGCTTGTCTTAAGCTGGTCTCATTGAGAGCTCATGCAGTGTGAACAGTCATGGCATTTGTCAAAACTAATCAGTGGCAATTCTACCTTAGTACCGGCTGGAGGCTGAATAAAACAAGAAACTGACCAAAATGCTTCAGAGAAGAGGGCACTTCTGAGAGTCAACACATGTACAAGGCTGTGCCCAGGCCGAGAGAGGCCTGCAGGACACTAATAGCTCACCTCTGCTGCCTCAGAGACTCTGGGCCAGCAACAATGGGATGCAAACAGCAAGCTGCCTGCCTGGATGCTGGTGGCATGTTCTTGTCACACTAGGAGACCCTGGACAAAGGCTTGGAGACTTACCAGCTCAAGCCAGACATGATGGGACACGCCTGTAATGCTAGCCCTCAGTAGGCTGAGGCAGGAGGATCAAGAAAATTTCTAGGCTAGCCTAGGCTATACAGAGACATTGTCCCCCCTAAACAAAACACAATTGGTAAGCAAGATGGCTCAGTGGGAAACATATTGCTACCAAGCCAGGCGACTGGAGCTCTCTCCCTGGGACCCACATGGTAGAAGGAGAATGGACACCTACAAGTTGTTCTCTGACCTCCACTTGTGCTCCGTGGTGTGTGTACCCTCCTCACATATACAGATAAACATAATAAGAAAAAAATGATTTATGGGTTCAGACATTAAGAAGCGCTTTATCTCCATCTGACCGCTCTACAAGCTGACCATGGCTTCAATGGCTACACACAAGGAAGAGGGTCTTAGAGAATTACCCAAGAGAGGCATGAACACACAGAGGGCAACCACTACAGCAAGCAAAGCAACAAATCCCCAGGAAGGAGCCAAATTACTCAGGGCCAAGGACGCCATCTCCTAACATGATGGTGCACTGTGCATCAGGATACCAAGCTGATTTTGGTGCCCCATCCTGCTTGGAGGGCAGAGACAATGAGACAGCAGCGTTGAGGACGGTGGGGTCCTACCAGCCACATTTTGGTAGCTTACATTAGCATCTCCAGAAAAAAATGAAGAACACTGTAAAATCATTAACCACGTCTCATGAAGAAGTAATGTGTGTAACTGTGTGTGGGTTTATGTATGTGAGTACAGGTGCACATGAGTGCAGGTGTCCATGGAGGCCAGAAAAGGACAGTCAGATCCCCTGGAACTAGAGTTGCAGGCAGTTGTGAGCTTCCCAGCATAAGTGCTAGGAACCAAGTTTGAGTTCTCTACAAGAGCAGCAAGCGCTCTTAACTGCTGAGCCATCCAGCCCTCCAATCATATTTTAGTATGTCAATGAAAGTCTGGCTTTCTTCTCAGCTAAGAACCACAACTGTCAAGACTAGCCACCAAACAGCCAATTCAGTAATTGCCAAAGAGCCGTCATTCTGGTCTCTCAGTATCCTTGGACCTGTCCAGCTGGGAGCCCTCCTTATTCTCAGCCTCTGGGCTCCCAGAATGGTAACCCAGTCTTGAGGTGAGTACACTGGCAACACTGTGGGATGCTGACCCCAAATCCTGTCCCCATTCCTCCATATTTACAGACTCTCAATTCGATCTAGGATGGCAACACAATCAGTTTCTAGTGATGGATCACAAACAGTTTAAGTTGGTCATAATAATTCCATTTCCTAGTCTTCATACCTAGTGGCAGCAAGGGAAGGCAATGTGACCTAGTGCACAAGGTGACACTTCTTGGGCACTTCTGGGAGAACCCTTTGCTAGCTAAAAATAAGGACAGGACCAGGTGTGGTGGTGCACATCTCTAACCCCAGTACTTGGGAGGCAGAGATAGGAGGATCAGGAGTTCAGAATCAGCCTATGCCACATAGTGAATTTGAGGCCAGCCTAGGCTACATGAGACCCTGTCTCAAAAACAGAAAAACAAGTGACTAAGAAGAGGGGTCTAGAGAGATGGCTCAGCAGTTAAGAGCATGTACTGCTCTTGCAGAAGACCCAGGTTCAGGTCTCAGCACCCAAATCAGGGAGTTCACAACTGCCTATAACCCCAGGTCCCGAGGGATCTGAAGCCCATAGCCTCTGCAGGCAACTGCACTCACACATGCACATTCTCACACATAGACATATACGTACATTTAATTAAACATAATAAAATAAAAACAGGAACTGGAAAGATGGCTCAGCAGTTAAGAGCAATGACTGCTCTTGCAGATGACCTGGGTTCAATTCTCAGTACACACATGGCAGCTAACAGCTATCTGTAACTCCAGTTCCAGGGGATCTGATACCCTCTGCTGAACTCTGTGGGCACTGTACGACACGGGTGCACTTACATCCAGGCAATACTCATATACATAAAATAAATGAATAAAATATTTTAAAAATAACAATAAAAACAGATGTTTGGGGGCTGGAGAGATGGCTCAGCAGTTAAGAGCACTAACTGCTCTTGCAGAGGACCTGGGTTCGATTCCCAGAACCCATATGGCAGCTAATAACTGTCCATAACTCCAGTTCCAGGGGAATCCAACACCCTCTTCTGACCTCCTTGGCATTGTGCAGCACGGGTGCACTTACAGACATGCAGGCAATACACTTGTACACATAAAATAAAAATAAATAAGTTAAAAAAAAAAGGGGGCTGGAGAGATGGCTCAGTGGTTAAGAACACTGGTTGTTCTTACAGAAGACCCGGGTTCGAATCCCAGCATGCACATGGCAGCTAACAACTGTCTGTAACTCCAGTCCCTGGGGATCCAACAGCCTCTTCTGACCTCCACAGGCACTGCACGACACGGGTGCATCTAACCTACATGCAGGCAATACATGCATACATAAAAAAAAAAGGCTGAGAAGATGGCAGAGTCAGTAAAAAGTACTTGCCTTGCCTGAACTTGACCTGAATCTGGATCCCCAGCACCCATGTAAAAAGCTAGGCATGGCAACATGTGCCTGCAACCCCAGTCATGGGGAGATGAAACAGGAGGATCTCTGGGGCTTGCTGACTAGTGACATGAGTGAGCTCCAGCTTTAGTGAGAGACTGTGTCTCAAGAAATAAAACAGAAGGTGGGCATGGTGGCACACATCTTTAGTCCCAGCACTCCAGAGGCAGAAGCAGGTGAATCTCTGTGAGACTGCGGGCAGCCGCGTCTACATAGGGAGTTCCAGGCCAGCTGGCATTACAGAGAGAACTTGTCTCAAGAAACAAAACAAAACAAAACCAAAAAATAAAATAAAATGGAGAACAATTGAGGAAGACACTTGACATTGACCTCTAGCCTACACAGGCATGCATGCACATATATAAACAGATACACACATGCACACATACAAACATATAAATATGCACTGCACACACAATAACAAACAATAAAACCACAAAGACTTCTCAGCTGGGGGTGGTGGCCCACGCCTTTAATCCCAGCACTCGGAAGCAGAGGCAGGTGAACCTCTATGAGGTCGAGGCCAGCCTGGGCAGCTGGGGCTACAAGGGGAACACCATCTCAACAAGCAAACAAACAAATAAAACCACCAAAAAAACCCAAAAGACTTTCCAAATGCTGGAACAATCTCAATCTTTCCATGTTCGGGATAGCTTCAGTTGTCAACTGGGCATACCCAGGAAGAGGGACCCTCAACTGGGGATTTTCCTCTATCAGACTAGCCTGTGGCCTGTCTGAGAGGCAGTTTCTTAATTGTTGGTAGATGTAGGAGGGCCCAGCCCACTGCAGGAGGTGCCACCCCTGGGCAGGTGGTCCTGGGTTATATAAGTAAGCAGACTGAGCACAGGCCCAGGGAGCAAGCCAGTAAGCAGTGTTCCTCCATGGTCTATGCTTTTCAGTTCCTGCCTCCAGAATCCTGCCCTGGCTCCCCTCATGATGAACTGTAAGCTGTAGGATGAAATAAACCCCCTTCTCTCCAAGATGGCTTTGGTGCTTTATCACAGCAATAGAAAGCAACTAGCACATTCGTCCTGGACAAAAATGAGGTGAATTGCAGCTGGAGAGCAGCTGCAGGTACAAGGAGCACAGGCAGTATGAGGACCGAAGGCTGGGGACAGGGAGACACGAGTGACCAGTGACTGGCTAATCCCCACAGCTACCCTGTACCCCCTGCAGCCTGCCTGAGGGGAGGGAGGCCTGTCTTGGACCTAACATGAGCCAGGCCCTTTCCTTTCTCCATCAGCCAGTGTGGCTTCCTGACCTGTAGTCAATGGTGAGTCTGCACTACCCAGCTAAGCTGCCACTGCCTTGTGGCCAGCCAGGCCCACCTTTACACCTCAGCTGGGGTGACTTGACGGGGAGAGGCCATTATGAAGAAAAGAGGATGCCACTCACCTTCTTTCTGTTTCTTCTGTTCAAGTTTCATCTTCTTTGCCAATAACTTCTTCTTTTTTAACTTCTGCCTACAAAGGCAAACACATGCACACTGATTACCTTAGTGGATACTTAGGAAAGTAAGCATCTACTGATGCCACCTTTAAAATCTTTATAGTAACCACCTTTAAAATCTTTATAGTAACAAATGCTACAATAACAAAACAAGAGGGCTGGAGAGATGGCTCATCAGCTAAGAGTGTATACTGCTCTTTCAGAGGACCAGAGTTTGGTTCCTAGCACCTACTGTTACACTGTTAAGTCCACCTGTTAAGTCCAGCTCCAGGGGATCTGACACCCTCTTCTGCACATATGTGTGTGCACAACCCGTACCACACCCACATACATACCCATAACTGAAATTTTAAAAATTTAAAAAAATTTTCTCATGACTGTGCTATTCTATCATTATCAACTGTTTTCACTGTGAGTCACAATCAAACCCTGTGGAGTAGCTGAACGTGGTGGCTCATGCCTGTAGTTCCAGCATCTGGGAAACAGGCAGAAAGATCAAGAATTCAAGGTTAGTTGGGCATGGTGGTACACAACTTTAACCCAGCACTCAGGGGGCAGAAACAGGCAGATCTCTGTGAGTTCAAGGCCAGCCTGGTCTACATAGTGAGTTCCAGGCCAGCTGGGGCTACCTGGAGACCTTGTTTCAAAATAAAACAAAATAAACAAAACACAAAAGAAATCCTGCCTCTCCCTACCTACACAGGTCTGCACCAAAACATCCAGCTGCTGGTGAACTTTTGCCAACAAGGACTCAGCTTATTATCCACCAGCCACTTTCCCATTTCCTGCCTGCAAGCCCCACTGGTTATAGATACCAGGACAAAGCTCTTACCGCTTTTTCCGGCGCTTAGCAGTCTGCTCCTCTGCAGCAATTTTATTCTTTTCTAATCTCTTCTGAAACTCTGCATCCAGTTTTTGCTGTAAAAATATAAAACAAGAAACCCATATCATTTAGACAGACCCTGGATTGGAGACTGCAAAGTTGCTGAGTTCAGGTTCTATAGGCACACCACCACTCAAGGGCACCATTCAGGTCCCCAGAGTCACTTTAACTTTACAAGATTGCCCCAGGCAGGACAGGAAATCAATACAAGCAATCTGATGGCAGAGTGACACTGTTCACACCACTCATGTAAGACAAAACCCCCCAAATGCAGAAGGGACATGTGTGGGTACATACAGTAAATGGGTAGAGGGTCGAGAAAGGGGGGAGCACAGTACAGAAGGGGGAGGATCGAGGAGGGAGGGAGGGAAGGATGGGGGTAGGGAGGGAGAGAGAGAGAGAATGAATATAACATAGGGGACTCCTTGAGGGGCAGAGCAGCTCTGACTCCTTGCTTAGCCTGCCCAGGGCCACTGACCAGAGCTCACAAGAGGGAAGAGCCAGGGGCCAGAACCCAAGAAGTGCTAACACCCTAGCTACAGTTATTCAAGGACTGATTCTAAAGTGGTACAACAGAGATGGGGTGGTCAGAGGATAAAGCACTTGTCGTGTGTTATACAACACTGTCCTTTGAGTAAAACAGGTACCATCTTCATGAGTTCAGTTGTGTCTACTTACAAAAGATCAACAACTGGACTTACTGATAGCTGACAGTCCTACATAGCAAAAGAGTCATGGGAGTCTCCCCTGAGTACCAGTCGCTCCTCCCAACCAGCTGTATGCACAATTCTGTCCTAACTGCACATGGAGGGGCTAGGCTGGGAAAGGCTTTACACCTATCTATGCAGCTGTGGGGAGCCATCCTCCATGCTGGGTGAAGACTTTCCACTGTGGCTGATTTGGGGTCCCCCACACTCCTGCCAGTCACCCTTCACCCATGCTCTGTAAGCCCAATACAGTCATTGGTTCCCCAGGGTGAACTCTGGTTTGTTATTGAGACCTGGGAGACATTACCTAGTCCCCGCCAACTCTGAGAAAATTCTCATAACACCATGCAAGGATGAAGACATGGGTTTGGGTCCCCAGAACCTGTGTAAAAGTGGGACACAACAGCACACATGCCTATAATCCCAGCTCTCCTAAGGTAAGAGAGGTGGAGACAGGAGAATCCCCGGAAGCAAGGGCTACCCTGGTGGGTACAGATGATGAGACCCAGACTCACACATACCAGAACCAACCAAAAAGAACGCTGAGTGGCTCTCTGATTAACAGTTCACCCTGCTAGCTGCTCCTTTGTCTCTGCAGGGTAGGAGATTACGCCCAGGACCTCACGCAAGCTACGCAAGAGCTTTATCACTAAGCTACATCCATAGTTCACTTAACAGAGTTGTTCATGTGTAGGTGTGTATGCATATGTAGGGTGTGTGTGTGTGTGTACATGAATGCAAGTACACACCCACTTGAAAGCCAGAGCTCCACCTCAGGTGTCACTTCTCTGGAGTTATCTGCCTATCCCCTTACTGGGACCTGGGGATTGCTGATTAGACTAGGCTGGGTGGCAAGAACCACCCTGGGACCTGCCAGAATTCACCTCCTCAGAATGGGATTATAAATTCCTGCAACCACAGCAGGCTTTCTTTTTTTTCCCCTTTCTTTTTCTACATGTGGATTCTGGGGATTTAACTCAGATCCTCACACTTGCAAAGCAAGCACTTTACTGAGTCACTCCAGGTATTGTGGGATTTTTTTGGTTTTGTTTTAAATTTTTTTTTTTTTTTTAATTTTTTGGTCTTTTTAAGACAGGATCTTCCTGTAGCCCCAGCTGTCCTGGAACTCACTACGTAGACCAGGCTGGCCTTGAACTCACAGAGATCCACCTGTCTCTGCCTCCCAAGTGCTGGGATTAAAGGCATGTGCCACCACGCCCGGCCCTATTTTATTATTTTTATCTTATATGCATATGTGTTTTGCCTACATGTATGTACATGCAACACCTGTGTGCAATGCCCTCAAAGAGAAGAGAAGAGGGAGGGTGTCAGATCTCCTGGAACTGGAGCTACAGACAGCTGTAAGCTGCCATGTCACACTGGGAACTGAACACAGGTCCTATGCAAGAGCACTGAGCTATCTCACCAGTCCTCTAAAGCAAATCTTAAAAAAAAATTTATTATTTTAAATTATGTGTATGTGTGTGGGTCTGTGCATGTGAGTGCTGGTACATGTGGAGACCAGAGGTAGAAATCGAATTCAGTTCCTCTACAAGAGCAGTAAGCACTCTTAACTGCTGCATCATCTCTCCAGGCCCCTAAAGCAATTCTTAAACTCTTAAAATAAATAATAAGTTATTTGTCACTTGTCATGAAGGAATGCCAGCCCACAGGCTAGCATGGTACACTTTTTTTTTTTTTTTTTTTTTTTTTTTTTTTTGGTCTTTTTGAGACAGGGTCTCCCTGTAGCCCCAGCTGGCCTTGAACTCACAGAGATCCACCTGCCTCTGCCTCCCAAGTGCTGGGATTAAAGGCGTGCACCACCACGCCAGGCCCCAGCATGGTACACTTTTAATCCCAGTACACAGAAAGCAGAGGCCAGCAGATCTCCGAGTTTGAGGCCAGACTGTAGTTTAACATCCAGAAATCTAGAAAAGACTATCATCTACATAGTGAGTTCCAGGCCAGCCAAGGCTAAATAGTGAAATTCTACCTCAAAAAATGAAATGTTAGCCCCAGGAAAACTCAGATCTCTAAGAGGCAGACACTGAACACATACCACTATCCACATAAGCTACACAGTGAGCTGCATCAGGCATTCAGCCCATGAGAGGAGAGGAACAACCCCAGTGGAGTGGGAGTGCACAACTACATGGCAAATGGCCTACAGGGAGCAAGAGACTCTGCAGTGCCTTCCACACTCACAGAAGACTCCCACACTACCCTGTATTCCACTGAAAGTATCTTATACTGCCAATTGGACCAACCACACCAGCAGTTCACTGACCTTCTCGGCCATGGCATCCATGTGGTCTTGCCGCTGGTACTCTCTCCGCCGCAGGTGCCTATACACATGGAATTCTCCACTGCCAGCCCCAGCACTGGAACCTAAGCCAGAACAGCCCAGAGTTCTAGGTGAAACTCAGTTGCCAGGCCTGGGGCATTTGCCTGGCAGGCATAAGTCCTAAATTCAATCTCCAGGACCACAAAAGGGGAGGAGCAGGGAGGAGTGCAGGGGGTGGAGGGGAAGGAGGGAAGGAGGGGAGGAGGGGGAGGGGGGAAGGAGGGGAAGGAATCCAGTTACCAACACAGCTGCACTTAACTAAAAGAGATTAGAGATTAGAAAGGCCCCAAGACTGTTTTGTGTTTCAACTAAACAAGAATAGTGCCTGGCATAGTGCAGGTTTTATCAATGACTTGTATGAACACTGAAAATTCTACTCTATACTAGGAGTGGTGGCACCAGTTTAAAATCCCAGTACTTGGAGGCTGAGGCAGGACTAAGAGCTGAAGGTCATCTTAAGAAACCCCTGGGTCAAACAAAACAAAAATCTCACAGTAATGTAATAGTAAAAGGAGGAAAAGACTAGTTTAACAACCAGAAATCTAGAAAAGACTTGTGACCTCACCGCCCTCTGTGATTTCACATGTGATGTGTGAGATTATTAGCAAGTTGAAAAGATACCTCTGATATGCCAAGTGAAAAGCGGCTTGCAAAGAGTATGTGAAAAGTAACAGTATTTCTATAAAAATGCTTTTTCTTAAATGAGTGGTTTTGATGATAGAGAGGTTAAGAAGGTCATATTAGAATGTCTCAAGTGGAAGGATGGAATAACAGGTGGTTCGAACTTTTTAAAAAGGATTTATTTTTGCTGGGTGTGGTGTCCCATGCCTTTAATTCCAGCACTTGGGAGGCAGAGGCAGGTGGATCTCTGTGAGTTCGAGGCCAGCCTGTGGCTACATAGTGAGGCTAATGAGTGAGTCAGAGGTCTGCACAGGGAATTCCAGGCCAGCTGGGGCTACAGTGAGACCCTGGCTCAAAAAACAAAACAACAACAACAAAATTTTATTTTTAATTATGCGTATGTATGTGTCCATGTATGGATTTGTGTGTGTGTGTGTGAGTGCAGTGCCCTCAGAGCCTAGACGAAGGTGTCAAACTCCTTGGAGCTGGAGTTAGATAGCTGTGAGTTGTCTAATGTAAATGCTCAAAACTGAACTTGGATCCTCTGTAAGAGCAGTAGGTGCTCTTAAACACAGACCCATCTTTTCATCCCTAACTTATTCTTTTTTGAGACAGGGTCACCCTATGTTGACACTGGCCTAGAACTCACTATACAGAGCAGGATGGCCTCAAACTCAGAGATCCACCTGCTTCTGTCTCCAGGGGTATAGCTGGTTCCAAGAGAGTCAAGTATATACAGTAAAACCCTATCTCAAAAAAGAAACTGACAACTGGGGTACAGGGAGATGGTTCAACAGGTAAAGGCACTTGCAGTTAAAGTTAAGTCTGACTGAGTTTAATCCCTGGAACTCACATGGTAGAGGGAGACAACCCACTTCCATAAACTTTCCCCTGACCTCCACATGCCACATATCTATACATACATACACATACACACATGCACTGTTACAAAAAACAAAGAAGCTATGCATGATGGTGTAAGCCTAAAATCTCAGCACTCAGGAGGCTAAGGCATGAGGATTTTGAGTTCAAGGACAGCCTGTACCACATAGTGAGACTATGTCTCAAAAAACCAACACCGTTAGCAAATGGAGAGGCCTGGAATATGTTCCCTGATGAGGACATGTAAGCTGGTAGACCTCTTTCGCCTCTCCCAACTTTCAAACTGATGAATAAAATGGTTTGACTACACACACACACACACACACACACACACACACACACACGAAAAAAAATAAATAACTGGGAAAAAATCTCCTAGTGCCAAACTTTAAACTACCAAATTCCTCCATCATAAGAACAAAATAATGATTCAGTAATCATTTCTTCCTGTTAAACATCTGATCAATACATACCAACAATGTTTTGACATTTCCCTTTAAAAATTATATTCATGAGGGGCGTAGTGGCGCATGCCTTTAATCCCAGCACTCTGGAGGCAGAGGCAGGTGGATCTCTGAGTTCAAGGCCAGCCTGGTCTACACAGTGAGTTCCAGGGCAGCTGGGGCTACAGTAGGGAGACCCTGTCTCAAAAAGATCCCCCCAAAAAATTATATTCATAGGGTAGCTGGAGAGATGGCTCAGTGCACTCAAGAGCACTGGCTGCTCTTGCAGAGGACCTAGGTTTGGTTCCCAGCACCCATAGGGCAGTTAGCAACATCTGTAACTCCAGTTCCAGGGGATTTAATGCCCTCTTCTGGCCTCCACAAGCATTGTACACAGGTGGTGCACTTACATACATGCAGGCAAAATACTCATACAGCCGGCATGGTGGCACATGTCTTTAATCCCAGCACTTGGGAGGCAGAGGCAGGCGGATCTTTGTGAGTTCAAGGCCAGTCTGGTCTACATAGTGAGTTCTAGGACATCTGGGGCTACAAGGAGACCCTGTCTCAAAAAAAAGACAAAAAAAAAAAAAAATCCACTCATTCGCATAATAAAATAAAACTTGAGAAAAGTTTAAAGATATTACCCATGACATCTCGGACAAATTCCGGGGGAGGTCGAGGTGCCCATTCATTCATTTTTTCTGGAATTGGAACTGCCTTGTCCTGCAATGGTTAAACAACATTTGTAAACTTAAACTTGCTGAGAAAGTTTCATCTCTTATAGCCTGACAGAAGTGAGTAGGGCTGTGCTGCTTCTCAGACCCAGAGCTTCCTCTGTCCTGGCTTTACTTCACCCTGCAAACCATGGTCATAGCAGTCAGCCATCTGAGTCACCAGGAGGAGTCAACCTTTTCTAGTCAAAGGTATGAGACCTCCACATTCAACTGTTTCAATGAGGCCTGACTGGGCAGTTAAGACGATACAGATGTGGCCAATGCCTCTGTATAAATGTAATAGAAGAGATGAACACCTTTGCTAAGGCATAGATTCTATATTTTTTAATATTATTTTAAAAATTAATTTATTCTTATTTATTATTTATGTATATGAAGTCTTCACCTGCATGTAAGTGCTCTTAACCACTGAGCCATCTCTCCAGTCCCTATTTTTTTTGTTTTCTTGAGACAAGGTCTCACTGTGTAGCCTTGGCTGCCATGAAACACCCTAAGTAGATCAGGCTGACCTCCACTTTGTGATGATCTTCCTGTCACTAGAGTTCTGGGATCACAGGTATGCATCATCACACCCAGCTTCTACCATTTTGTTCATATTAGATTATTAGGAACTCTGAAGCAACCTGAATGGTGGTGGTGCATGGCTGCCATTCTAGCTATTTCGGAAGCTTAAGCAGGAGGATCCCAAATTTGAGGCCCACCTGGACTACAGGGCTAATTCAAGGCCGGCCTGGGGAGCTCAGTGAAACCTTGTCTCAAAATAAAAAATAAGAAGACTGGAAATATAGGTCAGTGGTAGGGCACCTGCCTAGAATCCCCCAGTGAGGGGCTGGGGGTATGGCTCAATGGTAGACCACCTGCCTAGAATCCCGCAGTGAGGAGCTGGGGTATGGCTCAGTGGTAGAACACTTGTCTAGAATCCCCCAGTGAGAGTCTGGGGTGTGGCTCAATGGTAGAGCACCTGCCTAGAATCCCCCAGTGAGGGGCTGGGGTATGGCTCAATGGTAGACCACCTGCCTAGAATCCCGCAGTGAGGAGCTGGGGTATGGCTCAGTGGTAGAACACTTGTCTAGAATCCCCCAGTGAGAGTCTGGGGTGTGGCTCAATGGTAGAGCACCTGCCTAGAATCCCCCAGTGAGGGGCTGGGGTATGGCTCAATGGTAGAGCACTTACCTAACGTGCAAAACCACAAAACGAAAATTGGGAAAAAAGGGCATGCAGGGCCGCCCAGCGCCTTCATGAAGCTCACTCTAGCGGGCGGCGTTTCCCCAGACCTCTTGGGACTGGGTACTCAAGTTCCGGATCTGTGGCCACAGGGCCCACCCTGACTCACCGGGTTCTTCATGAGCCGCTCCAGCTTGAGCTTCTGCTCCTCGGCCGCATTCTTGGGGATGACAAGCGTCTGCGGCTCTTTCTTAGGTCTGGGCGGCCGCACGAAGGCGGCAGCGGGACTCGCCATAGCTGCCTTCCTACAATCTCCTACAGAGGCGTCGGCGCCTCTCAATGACGAAGCAGTGGAGCGTCAGCTGCGCGTGCCCACTTAAAAAATTTGGACTGCGCCTTGCGGTGTGCTCATGCGTACTATTGGAACTGGGGCGTGGGCGTCACAAGCCGGAAGGAGGTTGCTGAATGTTCTTGAACCCGAGGCGCGAGAGTGGTTTATTTTCTTCATCAAAGCTACTTAATTCTATTTCCTGTTTCAGAAGGAATCAGGGCTGCGTGACTCCCACGTCCCTAGGAGAGGTGGTCTTTCATGATGAGTGGCCTGGCCCTAAGCCGACCTGGCTCTTAGATCTAGCTTTTTTTTTTTTTTTTTAAGATTTTAATTTTTGGGCTGAAGAGATGGCTCAGGGATTAAGAGCACTGGCTGTTCTTGCAGAGGAATCAGATTGGGTTCTCAGCACCCACAGGTAGCGAACAACTGTCCATTACTGTCTGTAACAGTTCCAGGGGATCTGACCCCCCTCTTCTGGCCTCCGTGGCAATTGCACACACAGGTGCGCATAAATGCAAACAAAACACTCATATACATAAAATAAAAATAATAGCCTTTTGAGTGCTGGAGTTAAAGGGGTGCATCACCATGTCTTGCTCATTTGTTTTATTTTAAAATTTTGTTTCATTTTATTTTATGTGTATGAGTATTTTGCCTGTGCAATGCCTGTGGAGACTAGAAGAGGGCGTCATATCCCCTGAAACTGGAGTTAACAGTTGTTAGCTGCCATGGGGGTGGCCAGGAATTGGACCCCAAATAGTCTAGAAGAACAACTACTGTTCCTAAACTGTGAACCATAGCTCCAGTCCATTCATTTTATTTGTGAGACTGGGTCTCTTTATATAATCCAAATTACTTTCAAATTTGCGGTCCTTCTGCCTCAGCCTCCGGAGTGTTGTGATTACGGGTGTGTGATAACCACCTCAGTTTTTGTGGTTCGGGTTTATTTTGTTTGTTTGTTTGTTTGTTTTTGGTCTTTTTGAGACAGGGTCTCCCAGTAGCCCTAACTGGCCTGGAACTCACTATGTAGACCAGGCTGGCCTTGAACTCACAGAGATCCGCCTGCCTCTGCCTCCTGAGTGCTGGGATTAAAGGTGTGTGCTACCAGCTTTGTTATATTTTTTTTCTTTTTTTAAAAAAATATTTATTATTTTATGTGTATGCGTGTATTGCCAGCATGGGTAAGTGGACCCGTGTCGTGCAATGCCTGCAGAGGACAGAAGAGGCTGTCGGATCCCCTGGAACTGGAGTTATGGACAGTTGTTAGCTGCCATGTGGGTGCTGGGATTTGAACCCAGGTCTTCTGCAAGAACAGCCAGTGTTCTTAACTGCTGAGCCATCTCTCTAGCCCTGTTTTAAATTTTTTATTTATCTACTTGTACTTATTTCTGGATGGCCTAGAACTCCCAATATCGACTGGGCGGGCTGGCCTCAAATTTACGGTGTCCTCCTGCTTCAGCCTCCTGAGTGCTGGGATTACAGGAGTGTGCCACACACAGTTCTTGTTTTCTTATTTGTCATCCCTACAGAGTCGAAGCTTGGTCTTGGTCACTGCTGTACCCCAGTGTCTGGCTAGCACTCAGGAAATAAATGGAAACCAGGTGTGGTGGGACATACCTGTAATCCCAGCATTTGGGAGGCTGAGTTTGAGGCCAACCTGGGCTACAGAGTCAGGCAGTGTCTCCAAAAGCCAAAATATGTATGCCTGATGGGTAGGAGGCAGCAAGGAGTTTCAATCCCTATAATTCCAACACTCAGCGAGGTGGGGGGCAGAAAATCAGGATTTCTGGGGGTGCTGTTTCCACACTCTCAAGACTGATGCCAAATTGGAAGTTCTGCCCCTTGGGTGAGGCCACCTCTCTCACCCCTGGATGCCTGTCTAAGGACTTGGACCTAATGTAACCCTATCTGCCACCAGGGGGTAGCAAAGTGCCATTCAAACCCATCTGGGTCCTGAAGCCCAGCACCAAGTTGGCTTAATTAACCACAGATGAAGAGTCAAGTAATAGTTATTCATTTAAAAAGAGCTTGGTCAGCTGGGCGTGGTGGCGCATGCCTTTAATCCCAGCACTCGAGAGGCAGAGGTAGGCAGATCTCTGTGAGTTCAAGGCCAGCCTGGTCTACATAGTAAGTTCCAGGACAGCTGGGGCTACAGGGAGACCCTGTCTCAAAAAGACAAAAAAATATATATATATATCTTAGGACTGGAGAGATATCTCAGTGGTTAAGGGTTAAGGGCATTGGCTGCTCTTGCAGAGGACCCAAGTTCGGATCCTAGCATCCATATGGTGGCTAACAACCATGTATAACACCAGTTCCATGGGATCCAACCCCCTCTTCTGGCCTCCTCGGATACTTTGGGACATGAGTACACTTACATACATTTTCTTTATATATATTTATTTGGGGACGTTCTCATTTATGTATTGGGGGGGGTCTTTTTGAAACAGGGTCTCCCTGTAGCCCCAGCTGGCCTGGAACTCACTATGTAGACCAGGCTGACCTTGAACTCACAAGAGATCCAACTGCCTCTGCCTCCTAAGTGCTGGGACTACAGGTGTGTGCCACCACGCCTGGCCCATTTATGTACTTTTATGCATGTGTGTGGGCACACTCATACCTGGTACACATGTGGGAGGTCTGAGAACAATTTGCAGGAAGTCAGTTCTCTCTCCACCATGTGGGTCCCAAAGATCAAACTTAGGTTGTCAAGCTTGGCAGCAAGCATCTTTATCCTAAGTCATCTTGCTAGTCCTATTTTTAAAAATATTTTATTTATTATTTTTTTATTTTATGTGTATGAGTGTATTGCCTGCAGATATGTGAGTGCACCTGTGTCGTGCAGTGCCACAGAGGTCAGAAGAGATCTTCGGATTCCCCTGGAACTGGAGTTAAGGACGGTTCGTAGCCGTCATGTGGGAGCTGGGAATTGAACCTAGGTCTTCTGCAAGAGCAGTCAGTGCTCTTAACCGCTGAGCCATCTCTCCAGCCCTAGTCCTATTTTTAAAAATATTTTATTATTTTTATGTGTATGTGTATATTGCCTGCATGTATGTAAGTGCACCCATGTCGTGCAATGCCTGCAGAGGACAGAAGATGCTGTCGGATCCCCTGGAACTGGAGTTATGGACAGTTGTTAGCTGCCACGTGGGTGCTGGGAGTCGAACCCCGGTCTTCTGCAAGAACAGCCAGTGTTCTTAACCGCTGAGCCATCTTTCCAGCCCCGTTTAATTTTTTCAGACAGGGTCTTGCCATGTAGTTCAGGCTGGCCTTGACTTTGTGTGCGTGTGTGTGTGTGTGTGTGTGTGTGTGTGTGTGTGAGAGAGAGAGAGAGAGAGAGAGAGAGAGAGAGAGAGAGAGAGATGTCAGGAATCAAATTTAGGGCCTTCTACATGCTAAACAAATGCTTTACGATTGAGCTACACCCCCTGCACTCTTTTTATATATTTTCAGATGGAGTTGCAGAAAATTGCTCAGGCTGGCCTCGAACTCACTCTGTAGCATAAACTGGTCTCAAACTCATGACCAAGCCTTGCTCTATGTTTTTTAAAATATTTTGTTTATTATTTTATGTGTATGAGTATATTGTCTGCATGTATGTGAGTGCACCTGTGTTGTGCAATGCCACGGAGGTCAGAAGAGGGTTTCGGAATCCCTTGGAACTGGAGTTAAGGACAGTTTGTAGCCGCCATGTGGGTGCTGGGGATCGAACCCAGGTCCTCTGCAAGAGCAGTCAGTGCTCTTAACCGCTGAGCCATCTCTCCAGCCCATGTCCATTAAGCTTTAATGTCAGTAGGCAACCCAACTCCTTGGCTTACTTTGTGCCCTGGACTGCTTCCTCTCCTTTCTCAGTTGCACAGAGGCCACACACTACCCACCTGCGCCTCTTTGACCTCATTCAACTCCATGCACGTCTCTCCCCAGGGACAGGTCACAACTGCAGAAAACAGAAGTTCAGGTGCAGTCAGGCACAGTGAGATGGGGGCAGAGTGAGACAGCTTCTCTATTACTGGAGCTGAGAGGGTTGTTTTTTCCCCCAGTCAGTACTGGGAATGAACTCAGGGTCTCTCTGGAAGGTGCTCTATCACTGGAGGATTCTAAGCAGGTGCTCTACCTCTGAGCCACATCCTCAGCCCCTCACTAGGGGATTCTAGACAGGTGCTCTACCTCTAAACCACACCCTCAGCCCAGCAGTGTGTTTTGTGCTCTTTAAGTCCTCCACCAATTACTAACTCATCTGCAGCTCACACCTTGCATGTGGATTTACACCTTTGTCTCCTGGTGCTGATAGGAGAGCTGGAGTGGTCCATAATGGACCTGTAAACTCCTGTTTTTGAATTCCATTCTCTGGGAACTCCTCCTTCTGGCCAGCCCAGGTCATATTGGATAGAGATGTGATTGTGTCCTCAGCTCCCCTGAGGCACCAGTGGGAACAGCAAGCCCTGAACTTCTCCCTGAGATCTGCCCCTCCAACTCCACTGGATAAAGGGGCCAATTTCAGACTGCACCTCTGTTTCTTCGCCCTTCTAAATGCTTTATGTTTTTACCTTCTTTCCATCATGACTAAGAGGATGGGAGGGTGCACAGTAGAGAGACCACAAGCTTTGGGGATGCTGGACATGAAACCCCAGACCTGCCAATCTGCCACTGGCTAGGGTCTAGTGACCATGGTCAGTGATTTAGCTTTTTATTTAAAAAAATTTTTTTTGGAGACAGGGTCTTACAATGTAGCCCTTACTGTCCTGAACTCATTGTGTAGACTAGGCTGGTCCTAAACACACAGATTTGCTTGCCTCTGCCTCCTGAGTGATGGGATTGAAGCATGTACTACCACACCTGGCTATTGTAAATTTTAAAAATATTTTTATCAGTTCTTTGAGAATTTCATACAGTGTATTTTCCCTAACTAATCTCATTCTCTCAGATCCACTCCCAGGCTGATCAGTCCTACTGAACTTAATTCCTCTCTCTCTCTCTCTCTCTCTCTCTCTCTCTCTCTCTCCTCTCTCTCTCTCTCTCTCCCTCCCT